TTGTTGGGATAGCAGGATTGCTGGATGTGATCGTGAGTGCTTCGATGTAGGCAGGTTTCAGGCGATCAATTGAGACGGTGTCAGGCTTTCCGCTTCTCTCTAAAACAAAGTATTTGGAGTGACGTTCGATAACCTTGAAGGGGCCATCATAACAGGGTTGGAGGGGTTTCCTCGTTGCGTCATGTCGGACAAACACAAAAGATGTAGAAGAGAGATCGGCTGAGATGTGTTCTGTTCGGGTTGACCGTTTGGTTGGGGTTGTATGAAGTTCAGATATATACTGTTTCAGACGGGTGACGAATGTAACGAGTGATTCGGGGTGTGCGCCAGAAGGGGAAACGAGTTCACCGGGTAAACGTAAAGTTGTACCGTATACAAGTGTGGCTGGTGAACAGTTAAGATCCTCCTTAATAGTGGGGCGGACAGCAAGTAAAATGAGGGGTAAAGAAGAGGACCATGGAGACGGGTTCATTTGGGCAGTCAATGCAGCTTTAAGGTATCTACGGAAACGCTCAACCAGACCGCTGGAACAGGGATGATACGCGGTAGTCGATATGTAATGGAAACCGAATAGTGTTGAAAACTTCCGGGAGAGATTACACTAAAATTGTGAACCGCGATCGGTAGTAACGGTGAAAGGTATACCAAAGTTACTCACCCAGTGCTGCAAAAATGAAAAAGCAACCGTTTCAGCTGAAGTATCCGAAATGGGTACAGTTACTGGCCAACGGGTAAAACGATCAATCATGGTAAGAATATGAGTGAAACCGTTTGATGGGGAAAGAGGACCAACAATGTCGAGATGGACGTGTGTGAATCGAGCATCCGGAACGGCAAATGAACCGATAGGTGAGTTCGTATGCCGAGTTACTTTACTGCGTTGACAGGCGATGCACTGTTTGGCCCAGGATGTCAGGTCCTTATTCATGAAGGGCCATACAAAGCGTGCACTAATCAACTTCCTGGTTGCTCTGATTCCTGGATGAGAAAATCCATGGAAGTGGTCGACAACAACGCGTCGAATGACTTCGGGGACGATTGGGCGCACTGAGCGTGTAGATATCACAAAAAATGGTTCCGGATTGGAGGGGTAACGGAATTGAAGAGACTTGAAATGAAGGGAACGATAGAATGGGCAAAAAATTAGGATAACAATTTTTATGGCTAGCCAGTTTGGATAGGTCCACCTGCGTGGAAGGGTGAAGAGCGTTGATGACAGGACGGGATAGGGCATCCACGACGGCATTGTCCGAAGCTGGAGTGTACCGAATGTCGGTAGTGAACTGTGAAATATAGTCAAGGTGGCGTATCTCGCGTGGTGAATATCGAACAGACTTGGCGTTGAGGGCATAGTTGAGTGGCTTGTTGTCGGTATAAATGATAAACGATCCACCTTCTATCAAGTGCCGGAAATGGCGAATAGCAAGGTAAATTGCGAGGAAATCACAGCCAAAAGTACTGTAACGCGTTTGGGCAGCCTGCGTCTTCTGCGAGAAAAAAGCTAGTGTTAGAAATGCGTTGTTAACAACTTGATGAAGTACGGCGCCGACGGCAGCGTTCGAAGCATCAGTTGTCAAAATCAGCCTTGCGCTTTCGTGATAGATATCTTTGTGGGCTGGGCAATGGCGAGCTCGGCTCTTTTGAAAGAGGCAATGGCGGCGGGGGGCAAAGTAACAGATTTTTCTTTGGAGCCGAGTAAATCGGTCAGTGGCTGCGAAATATCTGCACAGTGAGGGATGAATCGCCGGTAGTAGTTGATGATACCTATGAAACGACGAAGTTCGGTGAGAGTGGTGGGTATGGGAAAAGACTCCAGGGTCAAAATGCGATCAGGTAATAGTGAAATTTGTGTAGGGTCAACGTTGTGGCCAAGAAAATCTAGGCTAGTAACACCGCATAAGCATTTGTCAATGTTTAGGCGTATGTTGTAAGTAGAAAGACGCTAAAATACTGCCCTGAGATGAGCTGCATGCTGGCGATTAAAAAGTCGCCACAGTAGGCATACACAAACGGTTAACCACGTAAATCCTCGTCCATGAAAACGTTGAACGTCTCAGCTGCATTTCGAAGGGCAAAGGGCATACATGTGAATTCGAAAAGACCAAGCGATCTTGTGATGGCTGTTTTGGGAATACGGGGCTACGGGTATGTGGTAGTACGCTCGCACGCATTGAGTCTGGAGATGTTTGTGTGGCATAAGGTACTGGCGAAATCGTGGATATGTGGGATGGGATACCTGTCTGGGATAGTAGCCTTATTGAGAAAACGGTAATCCCTACAGGTTCTCCAGTCACCTTTAGATTTCTTGGGTACCATATGTAGGTGTGATGACCAATGACTCGATGAATTACGGATGATACCGAGTTCTGGCATGTGTTCGAACTCGTGTTTTGCGATTTGGCTTATCCGGATGAAGTCGGCGGGGGTTGGTATGGACAGACGAACCTCTCGTCTGGATGTGGTGAACGACGGAATGTGACCGGTTGGGCGTACTGACATGGATGAGTAAAGGTTGGAAAATCCCTAAGTACGTCAGCTTAATGTGAATCCGGTAAGATAACTCGGATACCTGTGGATGAAGTTAACCGTTAACCGAGATGGGAGTAAGCATGTCCAAGAGACGTTTGTTTTGCACGTCGACAGGTAGGTTGTAGTGGGTTAGGAAATCTGCACCGATGATGGGTGCTTGGACGTCGGCCAAAGGATAGATCCACTTGAACGCACGTCGCAATCCGAGGTCAAGGGTGAGGGAACGTTTGCTGTATGTAGCGATGCGGGTACCATTAGCGGCTTGTAAGGAGAAAGAAGCAGAATCAGAAAGTGGATTCTTATGTGGTAGCAAACTAACTTCAGCTCCCGTATCGGCGAGGAAACGTAGACCACTTGAACGATCGGTGATGTGGAATAGGCGACTAATGCGAGGAGGGATACAGACAGTCCTCGCCGTTACTGACTGGCCAGGGTGTTTAAAGGGGTGCTGGAAGGAACAAGGTGGTTGACACGTGCGTGCTTTTGGGCCATAAGATTGGTGATAACAGCACCAAAATGGACGGGCACTAAACAACGATCTGGACTGTGAACGTGGTGGGTGCTTGTTGGTCTTGTTGATCTTGTTAATCTTGTTGTTGATCTTTAACCGTTGTATGCGATTGGTTAAAACATCAAACTTGGCTTGCAGGTGCAATATAGAAGCAAGAATCGGGTCGGAATCTGTAGAAATAGTGGGTGCAGGGCGGGAGACGGAGTTTACGGGGTTGCTGGAGTAAGTTTCGTGGATCTTATCCGCCATTTGGGTTAACTGCTCCAAGCTGTGGTCATCACCGAAAGCGCTGATGACGCGGGACACGGAGGGTGGAAGTTTATCGAGTCATAGTTAGGCTATGATTTCCACCGCTAGCTTACGGCCACAGAGGAGACTGCGCATGTGGAAAAGCAGTTGTGTTGGTGATCTGTCACCAAGTTTGACAGTGGTGGATACATCCCGTAGCATTTTGTTTTCTGACACCCTCGTGCCTTAAAGGTCCCCTTGTCACGCAAGCCCGCCCGTGACAAAGAAACGTGCAAAACTAGGCGAAACGTGGCACCAAACAAAAGCAAGTCAACATCATATTCCTTTCTGTAGTATTTGGAGGTAGAGCAGAACTCTGGTTTGGTAAGTGTATGCTCGTGTTTTCTGTGTGCGCCCCCTTTAAATCAACCACGCGAACCATGGAGAAGCGTCTACAAATCACTTACTTCTAAAATCCATACTTGTCTTAGTCTACCACTGTTGCCTATCTGGCGATCAAAAGGTGAACTGCAATATATATATATGTATATATACATGTACGTATTCATATATTCATATATAAATGTTTATACATATTTACACGTCAATACATATATATATATATATATGTATAAAGCGAGCGTAAGCTTAATGCTGAATGGAATGAACTTTACCAGGAAACAGATTCATTATTTTGATAGAAATCAACAGAGCGATGCATTTGATATTGATTTCTTTATTCTCATACTCAGAAAATCATCAAAACTATGAATTCCTTCAATAAAGATAATCAACAGAAAGAAACAATTTGCAAATAAAGGAAAAAAGGAATAGTTGTTTTTTCGAGGGAAACATTGTGTTATTTACTCCATCCCACTAGTTGGCTAATGATGCAAACCACATCAACTGGGCCTGATTAGTTAACTCACTGCGTATTTTGACGCACTCCGAGGCTTACGCTCAATATTGCATATAGTAATTAACCTATTGTGTTGTTTCTAGCATCGTGAAAAATACTCCCCGGGCATTATGCCTGTTGTTAATTATGATAAACATTCCTAACGGTAATTGATATAATGCACACACTAATGGGGGACCGATACTCGATTTTCGTAAATAATCCTGATAGACATCAGCACCAGATACTATAGCAAGAAAGTAAAAAATATTCTGCTCTTAGCCGATTTACCATGGCATCGGACCCTCAGCTGCATTTCGAAGGGCAAAGGGCATACATGTGAATTCGAAAAGACCAAGCGATCTTGTGATGGCTGTTTTGGGACTACGGGGCTACGGGTATGTGGTAGTACGCTCGCACGCATTGAGTCTGGAGATGTTTGTGTGGCATAAGGTACTGGCGAAATCGTGGATATGTGGGATGGGATACCTGTCTGGGATAGTAGCCTTATTGAGAAAACGGTAATCCCTACAGGTTCTCCAGTCACCTTTAGATTTCTTGGGTACCATATGTAGGTGTGATGACCAATGACTCGATGAATTACGGATGATACCGAGTTCTGGCATGTGTTCGAACTCGTGTTTTGCGATTTGGCTTATCCGGATGAAGTCGGCGGGGGTTGGTATGGACAGACGAACCTCTCGTCTGGATGTGGTGAACGACGGAATGTGACCGGTTGGGCGTACTGACATGGATGAGTAAAGGTTGGAAAATCCCTAAGTACGTCAGCTTAATGTGAATCCGGTAAGATAACTCGGATACCTGTGGATGAAGTTAACCGTTAACCGAGATGGGAGTAAGCATGTCCAAGAGACGTTTGTTTTGCACGTCGACAGGTAGGTTGTAGTGGGTTAGGAAATCTGCACCGATGATGGGTGCTTGGACGTCGGCCAAAGGATAGATCCACTTGAACGCACGTCGCAATCCGAGGTCAAGGGTGAGGGAACGTTTGCTGTATGTAGCGATGCGGGTACCATTAGCGGCTTGTAAGGAGAAAGAAGCAGAATCAGAAAGTGGATTCTTATGTGGTAGCAAACTAACTTCAGCTCCCGTATCGGCGAGGAAACGTAGACCACTTGAACGATCGGTGATGTGGAATAGGCGACTAATGCGAGGAGGGATACAGACAGTCCTCGCCGTTACTGACTGGCCAGGGTGTTTAAAGGGGTGCTGGAAGGAACAAGGTGGTTGACACGTGCGTGCTTTTGGGCCATAAGATTGGTGATAACAGCACCAAAATGGACGGGCACTAAACAACGATCTGGACTGTGAACGTGGTGGGTGCTTGTTGGTCTTGTTGATCTTGTTAATCTTGTTGTTGATCTTTAACCGTTGTATGCGATTGGTTAAAACATCAAACTTGGCTTGTAGGTGCAATATAGAAGCAAGAATCGGGTCGGAATCTGTAGAAGTAGTGGGTACGGGCGGGAGACGGAGTTTACGGGGTTGCTGGAGTAAGTTTCGTGGATCTTATCCGCCATTTGGGTTAACTGCTCCAAGCTGTGGTCATCACCGAAAGCGCTGATGACGCGGGACACGGAGGGTGGAAGTTTATCGAGTCATAGTTAGGCTATGATTTCCACCGCTAGCTTACGGCCACAGAGGAGACTGCGCATGTGGAAAAGCAGTTGTGTTGGTGATCTGTCACCAAGTTTGACAGTGGTGGATACATCCCGTAGCATTTTGTTTTCTGACACCCTCGTGCCTTAAAGGTCCCCTTGTCACGCAAGCCCGCCCGTGACAAAGAAACGTGCAAAACTAGGCGAAACGTGGCACCAAACAAAAGCAAGTCAACATCATATTCCTTTCTGTAGTATTTGGAGGTAGAGCAGAACTCTGGTTTGGTAAGTGTATGCTCGTGTTTTCTGTGTGCGCCCCCTTTAAATCAACCACGCGAACCATGGAGAAGCGTCTACAAATCACTTACTTCTAAAATCCATACTTGTCTTAGTCTACCACTGTTGCCTATCTGGCGATCAAAAGGTGAACTGCAATATATATATGTATATATACATGTACGTATTCATATATTCATATATAAATGTTTATACATATTTACACGTCAATACATATATATATATATATATATGTATAAAGCGAGCGTAAGCTTAATGCTGAATGGAATGAACTTTACCAGGAAACAGATTCATTATTTTGATAGAAATCAACAGAGCGATGCATTTGATATTGATTTCTTTATTCTCATACTCAGAAAATCATCAAAACTATGAATTCCTTCAATAAAGATAATCAACAGAAAGAAACAATTTGCAAATAAAGGAAAAAAGGAATAGTTGTTTTTTCGAGGGAAACATTGTGTTATTTACTCCATCCCACTAGTTGGCTAATGATGCAAACCACATCAACTGGGCCTGATTAGTTAACTCACTGCGTATTTTGACGCACTCCGAGGCTTACGCTCAATATTGCATATAGTAATTAACCTATTGTGTTGTTTCTAGCATCGTGAAAAATACTCCCCGGGCATTATGCCTGTTGTTAATTATGATAAACATTCCTAACGGTAATTGATATAATGCACACACTAATGGGGGACCGATACTCGATTTTCGTAAATAATCCTGATAGACATCAGCACCAGATACTATAGCAAGAAAGTAAAAAATATTCTGCTCTTAGCCGATTTACCATGGCATCGGACCAACAGAAGCACTTCCTGAAACGGAAGGTAAACCGGAGGACTGTTTCTTTTTCAACGCCATACACAAACGCTTTTTCGGGCATCCATCAGATCTGGTCCTCAGTTAGCCTATGACATGCAAAACGTCAGTCTGGCGTGCGATAAAGTATTCTAAAGCCCCGATTAAACGGATGTATTCTGCCAGGATTATCAGTCCGCTCACTCTCAAAAAATTTAAGGTTTTCTGATGGATAATATTTTTCTCGAGAACTTGAATTTTCAATGTCATTAACTTGAAAGTTCAGCTAATGATTTAACCGGTTGATATTGGACTAAGGGCGGTGTAGTCCCCACCTGTAGCAAATATACGAAATGACTCCTTCTCGATGATAAAGGTGAGTTTCATCCCCAAGTGTTTCGGCTGCTCCAAGGTGATGTCTGAAACTATGCTTCTGGGTTGTGACTAGGGTGTGATTAGGGTATTTTAGTGAGTCCTGCAAATAACCACAATCTGGCCAACATTTTCCAATGCATTCAGAAAAACTATTGCTGTGCGGACGCGGCCAAATGAATAAGGAAATAACGCTGAAACAAAGGTCAGTCAAAAATGATTGAAAAGAGTGACAAAAGCAAAACTGAACGCACACAGCATCTTTCTGTTTTATTTTGCGGTTTTCCTGTACCTTCTAACCAGGAACCAATAAAATCTGAGCTAATTTATTCGGAATCTGACGATGAATGTCATCCACTGCGGCGCAATTCACTGCTAGTATTTATTTTGCCATTCACTTGGAATTACGGCACAGGGACAACACAAACAAACAACTCGGAGGATGTCTTAGAAAGCGTACTGTGCAAAACAGACTTTTTACGACTTGCAGACCATCAGCAAAACCTTGCTCAAATTTTGGATGTAAGTTCTGAATAAATCACCCCTTAAAAATTCTTTGAAAACAGCCCGTGACGACTTCTGTATTCATATAAACCTTATTTTGAGCACAATTTTGCAAGTAAGGTAGGCCAACTAGCAAAATAGCTGCATAGGTTTTGTACTACAAGACCTTTTTAAAGAAAACCAACTTTCCCAAATGTGTAGTTCTTGGGACATTGCGTCGACCTTAAGCCGTGTGTAGAAGGCTCTGAGGTGGAAATTGAAATAAAATATTAAATAATGTCTATTCCCCATGTGTGCCGTTATTCCGTTTCTCAACAAATTTCTGAATGATGGACTACAGTATCTTTTGTATCAAGCTTAGTGTGTTTTAACGAAAAAATTATTTCTTCAGGTTGCACGACTAAGTGGAACTTTTCGGATTCCCGCTTGGTATATCAGTTGTCCAAACGGTCCACGGAGATCTACCCATATGTGATCGAAATATCCATGCGAATGACATTGCAAAATCACGTAAAATTAAGAGTGCGAACACGTCGAAGAAGCTTTAGTGAGTGCAAAAATTAATTAATTGTGCAGTGTTCTTCAACGCAAAGCTCTCGGCTACATACGAGAATGTGCTGATCTCATGAATTAACAGATAAACAAACACTCTGTAGAGAGCCATGTAGACTTTGCCTCAATTTGCCCAATCACAACATCGCTCATACTTCACATTTCGATTCTTATGGACTAGGAGTCACGTAAATGTAGAAGTAAACAGATAATTTTGTGCCAATTTTGCTTGGATCCCAGTAACTACATCTTTGATAGTTGAACTTCCTGATACTCTAATTCCGCATATACCGTGCCAGTTTAATTACATAACAAGATATATCTGCTGAGTTAGCAAGAACGATGAATCGTCAATAAGTTTCAATTGATTCTGCAGTGTGGGCGTATTTTTACGATTTTGCATAAATTTTCGTTATTCTACTTCACTTCTACCCTGGTTATTGCAATTCACTGCCATTTTCAAAATAAAGACACCTGTTAAAAGTAAAGTTAAATTCAAATTCGAGTCAACGAACACCAAAGTGTAGTGGTTAACGTTTATTTTAACTGTAAATAAAGTATTTTAGAATTTGGTGCAAAACTGGTTGTTTCAATTGTTTTGATGAACAAGCGACCAGTAATTTTTCAGCAAAGGATGTATGATCAAGGTACAACCAATCATCGTTTGATGAGGGGTGCTATATATACTCTCATCAGCCCCACTATGAGTAGCTTGCCACAGTAATTATGAACCTTCTAACCGTTATACCCATTCTGTTGTTGGCTGCAGCAAGCCCTCGTAAGTTTTGACTCTAAGGCCAAACTGGACGTTGAATAAGTCACGTATCCAAGAATAACTATTGTTAGTTAATATTATCGTTTTCAGCACAACGTGCACTGTGGAATCAGCTTCATATCTTTTTTCCTGAAGCATTCATTGGGTTTATATGAATTTATTGGTTTATCTTTGACCAGATGTTTCTCAAGGTTGGGCAGAATTGTCTACACTCTGACCAGAAATCTGCTCGTATTTTCCATGTGAATAGCTCCAGTTATGTTTGATATCGGTGAGTTACTTTTGGTTTACGCTTCAGCACTAGAGGAACTGAATGTATGTTAATATTTTTCAAGCTGTTTTTATGCAGCAGCATTTTAGATGCGTGTCGCCACGTATTTCTAATTCATTTCCTCATTCATTTAGTTACACCTTCAAGGATCTGTTGCTGCTAGTCCTTCGATAAATTTTTCTTTGATATAGGCAACGAAATCAACGACCTATTAAGCAACTATCATTATATTCACAAACGCTTGCGAATAATTTTTGGTGAATGAATCACGAGAAGGGTTTTGAAGTCTTACCACCCTGTATTCCTTTAGCCTGATCGATATATCCCGGGAGATGCCGCCTGATTTCGTTAGCTATAAAGCAAATATTTTCGGTCGCAATGTGAACAGATGTAGTGGGTGTTGATTTGTTTGTCCTGCAACTATAAATAAATCTACAACAAATAACTGTCTAAATAGATATACATTTGAAAATTATCGCTTTGTTTGGAACATAATCTGTAGTTGTAAACAGTATGTAGCTTAGCCCCGGGAAAATGGTAATACATTTTGCTGTTAAACGAGTATCTGGTAAATTAAACAATGGATTTTCCAAACGTTCGTCACCATAGTAGGAGATATCGATTCTGAATGGCTTGGAGCGCATACGTGGCTTTCGAAGCAATGACGTGGTAATTCGTTGTGGCTGAAATTAACAAATAGAGCTAACATAAATTTTCAAATGTCCCTCGGTGGAACGACCCAGAGACAAACAAATTTCCTTTCTTAACGGTGCTATTGATTCTTCTGACCGCACGACACGTTCTGATGAAAAAAGTATCCATACTACGTGCTTCCATATCTACTGCGATTTGCAAACCCATTGGAATAGTAGGCCTGCTTGTTTTTTGTCTGTTAGAGCAAACAAAATATATTATACAATTTTGACTGTGGAAGAAGTACCAGCTGAATAACTTGGTTGTGGGATGATTTGCAAAGACATAATATTTCGGCCGCTTAAATAAAGCTCCTTTCTGAACGGTGCTATTGATTCTTCTGACCGCACGACACGTTCTGATGAAAAAAGTATCCATACTACGTGCTTCCATATCTACTGCGATTTGCAAACCCATTGGAATAGTAGGCCTGCTTGTTTTTTGTCTGTTAGAGCAAACAAAATATATTATACAATTTTGACTGTGGAAGAAGTACCAGCTGAATAACTTGGTTGTGGGATGATTTGCAAAGACATAATATTTCGGCCGGTTAAATAAAGCTTTATAGGTTATCTTATAATAATTTATGCTGCGCACAATGTTCGAATTTGAACCTAACTACTTACGGGTATTATTTGTTCCTTCTTCGTCCCTTACCACAATCTCTTGAGGGTCACTGATGGGCCTTGAACTTAGTTTAAGGACAGGATTTTTAAGGTGGTACTCCAACCAATTCCAACTCTTTAGGCCAAAATTAATCTGGACCTTTAGTTTCTCCGAATAAGTGGCCACTGTCTACGTGTTCGCCTTAGAAACACTAAACTCATGCCTTAAACTTCTAGTAAGGCTGAAGCTTCTACCGCCTCCCATTCCGCCTTCTTGCGCAGCGTGATAATTAACAAGTGGCGGGCTATGGATAACTCCTAATGACCACTGGTTTTCACACACATGTTTAGACCATTAATAGGAGTGTGTCGACCGATTTGCGTATCGACCAACCAAAAAATATGTCCACAGTAGTGATGCATGCTAGATAAAGAAAACGTTAATGATGTCAAATAACAGCAAAACTCGAGTATAGAGCTTTTCCCATCAATGTGAATTCACCGGAGTAAGTACGCCGGGATAAGAGGAAGACTGTGATGTGAATTTGTACATATATGCACTAATGTGGGGCTGGTGGTTTGCCTAATCATCTTATGCGGTACGAAGCTGAAGTTCTAAATATATGGTAGAAAATCTAGCGGGCTTGAACAATGAGGCTATCCAACAAAGCTGACTGCTCCCTGGAGACGACATTCTTCAAAACTCTTAACTCAACAAAACTATGTCAGGTTACCCTGTCTTAGAAAGGTTCTCAATACCCGGCAGCAGCAATTCTACCTGGTGCCTGTTATGCTTATAGAAAGCTAGTTAACGTTGTTTTTCTATGGAAACTGTTTGGTGCAGTTTTTGGGAGTGTACTCCTTGAGTTACACTGAGCAGAAGAAGGACAAATACCAGTGTTGTATCTCGTATCCTAATTTGTAAGCCACACGTGCTGAGGTATACGCTGACAAATGTTCTCCTAAAATAATAAGGTGGTGTGAAAAACACACCAAATGAGCGAAAACTGCTACTTTTAGTTTGCTCAAATGCCAGAAATGTGGTGTTACGTTGGGTTTTTGACTATACGTAATTGCAGGAAAACGGGCCAAACCCTCATTTTTTGTCAGTTGTTGCATGATTATTTTAGAAACCTTTGGGTCTTGGGGTTTTCGGACAGCCGTAAAACAGTACTATCCCTTCGTGTAGAAGAACACTATAAATTGAAATAAATTGATCGTTGTCGTAAAACGTGTGCTCACCTGATTGAAACCGATGAAATCGTCGAACATCGCACGGTTCTTAACTGAAAGTCAATTATATATTCCTCCCCAAGTTTGCCAAGTTGGCAGTTCTCAGTTGTTCACGCCAGAATGTTAGTTTGATGTATACTGCAACCGCAGTAACTGGATATACTGAGAACAACGACATTCGACCACAAGTTATTTCATGTTAATAAATTTACGCGCAACCTCTTGTACTGAAGTTGTACTGAAGATCGAATTCTTCCGCCGTCGTTTCGTCTACGGCAAATTCCACAAATATTCATCGTGGTAATGAAGATCTTCTACCAATTCCTGATTTCAGTGCTCTTTGATGGAGCTAGCTATTACGATCTACGTAAGCTAAACTCATTTTCCATACCGATGCACCAATGTCAAGCTTCTTGTACTTGAGAATTAACGTGGTCAAACGCACAAAAAATCAACGGTGTCAGATGGGGGGTCTAAGTGACCACATATTGTATATCAAGCGCGTTCTATTAATTTGAGTTCCGAGGTATGTATAATACACATCTCATAATTGATCTTTTACTGAATACTTGGGCTCTTGATTTCTTGAAAGACATTATATGAAATTTCCCAGGAGGTTTTATCCATGGTGGGAGCATGAGGATAAGAATATATTTCAGCGGAGTACCGTGAAAACAGCTCTGCGTAAAAATTAAAGGACGGACGAGTCATTCACCTTCTGTCCAAAAACAACCGAGTGATCCCTGCCCCAAAGGAGGGGATAATTGTAAAATCGAACACTTAATCCCTCTGAGAAAATGGTTGCGTCATGAATTTTCTGACTTCTTCTCAGGCTTTGGTGCAGTTTTTAGCTACCCAAATCATAACTGCAGACCTTATTGTGTGGATTTGCGCATTTCCCTCTACAGCATGCGTTTTTGGCGGAGAGAAATACCGTTACTTGTCAACCTGAGGCTTCTAGCCACACTTAATGCCCAACTCCTTGTGTCTTGAACATCAATCATATTTAACAGCCGTTGGAATCTGGCATACCGACGAATCCTAAGTGTCTTAATGGGTGTGGTCCCACAGAGAGCCACTAATACTGTATCTGGCGCCGGATATAATCGTAAGTCCTAGGCCAACCCAGACTACTGTAAAAATCACATGGACAGTTGGGAAGCAAAAGTGTAGCCAATTTTATGTGCAGTCAGCTCTTTTCAAAAAAATGACGTAATGGTGGGGAAAGAACCGTTAAATTTCCATCGCAATCGTGCACCTCTTCATGAACGGCGCTATACGAGTGCTCCATCACTAAACGCATTTCCTTGCAAACAGGTATAGTAATCATAAAGAATGCGAGAAAAATACAAGAGCGATGAAAATACTGTTACTTGTGAGTTTTAGCAACAATATCAGTCAGGGTGTCATTGAACAAATCGAAAAGTACGTCAATAGCATGTAGTATGTTATAGATTACCCACACAATGATTTTTTATATAACATTTTACATAACTTAAAGAGGTTACATTATTAGTCAGCATTTTTGCATGTTAAGTGTGCCTGAGTGTCCGCTCGGTAGATCACATTGCAAACTGAAATAACATTTAAAGAGTCGCGTACACTTCAACTTTTTCAAGACTAATATTTTGATTGTTTTGTTAAATCCGAAAGCTGGAACTCCAATGACAAAGACAGTTTGTTTAAGGATGCCAGTGTATGCCGTACCAATTAAAAAAGTGTACGATAGACCTTGCTAAACTCAATTGAGGTTTGCTTTTTCTCAAATATCGTTCGTTTCATTTGATTAGGAGAGACACATTGTTTGGTTTCGTCAGAAAGCAGGAAATGTATACCATCTGCGGCTCGATGATAACTCCTATTGTAGATTTCATAGTAGATTAGAACATTGTCATTTTGTGACTATTTGCAAAAGGCGACCACTAAAAAGTCCAATAATTAACTGATGTATAGGCTTGTTTCGAGGTCAGATATCAGATTTATACATTCTCTCACCGAATCAACGTATATCTGTATACGCACTTTCAAGCAAACAGCAAGTTAGTGGCCTGATAAATCACGTAAACCCTCTATTGTGGTCTCTTATAAAGGATCCAGCTTTGACGCATGCAAATCTAAAACACAACGTACTACTGCTAGACTTACATAGGTTTTAAAAAACATGAAATAGCGTAGCCTGAGTGGAGAAGAACTGATCTCACAAGATGAAATGGGGAACAGGCCATAATGGTTGGACTTACATGCATAATTGAGGTTCATGCACCTACGAAAGCAAACTAATAATATATCACGAAAATTATTATTTCATTCAGTTGATTTTTTATAATACATACGTCTTTTCAACCCTAGGAGTATGCCCCTCGTTAGTGGGTAAGTAATGGTTATTAATGGTACAAAAAAATCCTCAAGCAGACTTGCATTCTGGTGAAATGTGTATCTTTCAATTTATATAACGGCCGATTTTGGTAAAATTCGCACGCGCTCTTGATAAAATGATATGTTCATTCTACTCTCATCAAATTGATTTGGTTGCTTAATGCGCTTAAACATGATTAAGTGGTAAGCTACCAATAATACGGTTACTGCAATAAAACTGTAACTTCGTCATGCTACATTACAAACCAAAGGGATTCAGGTTAATTAAATTCAAGTGAAAAGCATAGCTATTGGTGGCCTTAAATCCTGAGGTACTATCCAAGATTTTCGGTTATTCATAATAAACCAAAGAACCAAAGGGTTACTTGTGCATATCTCCTCACCATATGCCGTCATAATTGAGGAAATAAGTTGTAGATATCGCGCTAAATGACTGTTGCACACTGAAGTTCGGCAAACTACCATCATATTTCTGATTTAAGCCTCGCGAAATTATGCCAAATTCCCATTTTTAAGTTGCTGCCGAAAAACGTTCGGATAAACTGACGCTGTCTATTCAAGGAGTTTTGTTTATTCAATTTGGATAAAGTCGAATGTATTAGGCGCCATGGCTCGTATAATACATAGTTTTCTTCAGAACAAAAAGTTTTGCATTAAAATGAGATATTGATATCTGACGCTTTGGTGGATTATGGAACTACTCGAGAAAAGCAGCCCAAAGGAACCGAGCATTGTGTTTTACTAACCTGTATTTGCCTACAGAAGACTGCAATGTGTTTTGAGAGCGAAGGAAGAAATCACCAATGCAATAGATGTATTTACACATTATATCCAGTTTTGCGGGTGAAAAAATGCATTTGGTGCAAAAACTAGCAGCAGCGGTTATTGCAAAAGTACGAAATATTTTGGTCTATTTTAAGTTTTGGTCCCTATATAAAATAGTGCTTTTAACGATTGTACTGAAATTTTGGCACAAAACACTGTTCATTGACATCAGTGTGGTTGCGTAAGGCTCAGAACAGAATGCCAGTGTGTGCTAACTTTATCCAGATATATATACGGCCACCAAAGGTTAAACAGATCTTGTTTGAAAGTGTTTATGTATTTGGTCCAAAGAACGGTACGTGACACTCAGGATACGTTTTTTACTTCATTTTACATCTCAGCTGACTCAATAATGCTCAAAAGAGTTACGATTTTACCAACCTAAAATGTAGGCCTGATTGCAACATACTGGTAGCTTTGTGCCCATATGCCCGGTGTAATGCGTCTCACGGCCAACACAGCAGTTCCCATATGATATTTGTTCTGGATTCCTCAAATGACCAAAAAAAATATTCCTCAATGTTTTATTATACAAATATTTGATCAGTTTTAACCCAAGGGCCTCACCGCTGTATTTTCAGAATGTGCATCACGTAGTAAGCCACTCTTTAAATCTTGAGGTTTGAAGTGTATTCCCTAATTTTTATTTGCGAGTCGAACCAATGCACAATTAGACTAAGCATGCATTATCCCTAGTAACCATACTTTGGGACGTCACAAATGAAATCCGTATTTGGCAAAAGGGTGTAGGCTACATGAGGGGCATGCAGAACACGAGGACATGAGAAAAGATTTTATGTATCCTGGCATATTAGGCAGTGAGTCGGGAGCCTCATTATTTTAGTTCTGTATCTTCCGGACAATAGCATGGGCTAAATTGGAATGAATCAAATTGTTTAGGCTGGTTCATAGGATGTAGGATTTGTTGGAAGAAAAAACCTGGATAAACCGAAAAATTCTGTTTTGTTTCCAAATATTAGATGATAACACTTTTTATAAAGACGACTGCAAATGGGCACAGTGTAGCGTGTTGGCACCCCGTTCTATAAAAGCTACACTTTTGAATGACCCATAAGATATATCAATAAATTATGTTAGATAGGGATATACGAGTGAAAGGAAGAGGGCTTTCGCTGCGGAGGTATTAACGAAAAAACACCAACCGAAATTTACGGACTATTGGACTGTGAAGAGGAACTTGTATGAGGGTGTCATATTGAGAAAAACAGAATGTCCATCCTTTGTTAAACGCTTCTTGCTGAACCTTCTTGGATATGTATTCACTATTACCCAAGGTAGGCAAATGCTGCAAAGCATTTACAGATATTCCGTAATAAATCTCAGTTTTCACTAGCCGCAACGTCCATTCACGAGAAAACCACATACCACACACGCCCAATTTTTTATATCTACCGGTAGACCAGGTCCAAAGAAACAAAGATTTTAACGGGCATATGCTAAACCAATCGACGTTTGAGGAATCACTTCAGCGAAACCAAGCATAACGCAGTCACTAAATGTTCAATCAGACGCGGGGTATGTATCCTCAGTCTATTTAAAGAAAACGATTTAGTTAAAGAAATGTAACAGCTGACAGCCCTACTTTATTCTTCGTACATTTTGGAAACTGATGCCAAGTTGTTCGAGGAATACTTGCAAAACTTTTAAGGTATTCTCGAAACACTGCCCAAGGTTTTACTAAAATTAACTTTTTGTACGCCGTCGAACAAGAGATTTGATCAAACCACTGCTTGTTTTTTTATAATTGTTAAATGATACAACCCGGGAACAAAACACGATTCAAGTTTTGCGCTTCCAAAAACCCAAAGCAGAGTTTA